GATGATCATCCGATTTTCGGCCCCTAATAAACGAGGCTGATTATATTGCCTGCTTCAAATGAGTCTGGTTTTCAAAAACAAAGGTATGGTTTGAACGCATTGAAACTGGTTTGAACTGACTAATCAAATTGAATGATTTCAAATCCACTACTATTTTTTCTCTTGACAGACAATCATTAATTGGCTATGGTTTGATCGCAAGATATCTTCAGCTGTAGATTGCCCGAGGATTCACACGCACCTTGTCCCAAACAACACCTTAATAGTCGAGAAGAAGTTCCCGGAAGAAGTCAAAAAAGGGCTCGAGGCTCGCGGTCACAAATTACAAGATTTGAAATATTACGCGGCAGTCCAAGCTATAGAAAAGCGCGGGAAGAAAATCTACGCTAAATCAGATCCACGGAAACATGGTAAGCCAGCAGGATATTGAAGGCGTTCGTTATCCAGTCTAGCAGCGCTGTGGCGAAAAAGTAAACACGTATTTCAAAAAAAAGTCGGTTTGGGATCTGAAGTAACACGAACCGAGTAACTCGCGCTATGTAATATATTTACAGCTGAAGGACGTACTGTAGTTTCCTTTTAGATTGGAATATGACCTTTGAGAGTATTATTAGAAAAGTGATTTTTCGGATTTTAGACAAAAAACATTTGCATATAGATATGAAACATTTCAAGCTTTGTACAAGCAATGGAGTGTGTGCAACTATGTGACTCAAAATCCCTCGAGATATAAATAACAATGAAACAGCCGCCATCTTGGTTGATCTAAAAAGAGAAGCTAATGAGGAATGCTTTGTTATCATCAACCAAGATGGCGGCTATGACGTAACATGCACCTGCTCTATAGAGTGTGTGCATCTATGTGACTCAAAATCCCTCGAGATATAAATAACAATGAAACAGCCGCCATCTTGGTTGATCTAACAAGAGAAGCTAATGAGGAATGCTTTGTTATCGTCAACCAAGATGGCGGCTATGACGTAACATTCACTAGACTCGATTTTTCCCATGGAGATTGCTTACTTAACTGTTAATTCTGAATATCAGCAAAAGAATTAGGTAGTCACTGTTTTCACGGCTATTGTTATGCTGATTAACCTGGAACCGTGGCCCAGTGGAAAAAACTTGTGAGTGAGTCAATTCCGGTTGAGCGAAGTTAGTATCTGGATGGGTGATCTTCACAAACTTAAGTCGCCTTACTTTTTTTTCTTGTTTTTTTTTTGTTTGTTTTTTGTTTTTTGTTTTCGCAGTAATTAACTTCGTCTAACTTGCAGCAACTCGTTTTCTTATTTCCAGCAACTCGTCTAGCTTGTTGCATGTTCCTTATAAGCCACCGTACATTTGAGATACACAGTCGAAACGTGTGAAACGTGATAAAGCCTCCATTCTTTCTATCACTGCGACAACAGACCTATCCCGAATTCGCTTGACTGGTCACAAAACAATGGTTACAAGTCGAGGTTGAACTTGATGAATAAAAGAATCAAGTTCAGTCTCGACTTCAAACCACTGTCTTGTGGTCATACAAGTGAATTCTGGAACGTCTATTGACAAACATTCAATATTTGTATCACCCGTCAATGATTTGCGATTTGAAAATTCTCATAGTAATCAGTGTTTCGATTGACCTGTGATGGCAGATGACTGCATGAAATGCCTTCTTTGGCGTCACATCATTAACATATATATTTGAAGTATAAACCTTGATATCTCCAACATGCATCACTCAACAATATAAAAATATTGTACTATTCCGGATATTAACTTCATTTAGAATCAATGCTGAATATTTTGAGTTAGGCCCTGGCTAAACGAGGAAACATGTTTCCCTAAATGTTTCCTAAGGTGGCAAAACTGTCAGGAAACAWCGGGAAAMAATGTTTCCATGCGTCTTGGAAACATGAAATGTTTCTGCCGCACAGCAAAAACTTGTTTTGCGTCTTGGAAGCAAAATTTGTTGCACGCAGCAATGTTTCGCATGTGGCTAAACTGGAAAACATCGAGGAAACATGCGCGCGGTAAAAATGTTTCTGGAAACATGTTTCCTCGTTTAGCCGAGGGCCTTAGGTGTCATAGGCACTTTAAGGTCTTATGATAGGGACATACCTTATAATCGTTTCTATATATTTACGTTACTTTTATATATTCTTTTTATTTCTATGCTTAATCCTTTCTGATTTACGCTCG